GCTGAGCCTGCGCGTCCGGAGCCTGTGCTCTGCAACGGGAGAGGCCACAGCAGTGAAAGGCCCGCGTACCAAAAAAAAAAAAAAAAAAAAAGAGAGATCTTGTAAACATGGACATTGAGGACATCAGCAGTGACCGGTGCTGACTGAGGAATGGAGAATGGGTAGCCTGTCTGAGACTATTGGACTGCACAGGACCTCTATTTGAGTAGAGAGAGAAAGAAGAGGAGATGCGAGGATGGGCTTCTGGAATCCCAGTGATGCCGCCTGATATTTCTATCCAACACAGTGAAACTGGAGTTTAGAATTGGACTTAATTTCAGTTCAGGAAAATAAATCTGATGTAAATAAAAGTGTTATTTCTTACACACTCTAATTTCAGGGGTGAAATTTACAACTACAACATAAGTAGACCCTAGGTTATGCATAATCTGTATAAATAGTGAATTTCGTTTTAAAGGGTGAAGGTTAAAAAAAAAAAAGGACTATATATCTAAAAAAAAAAAAAACCACCAAAGCTTCAATGTGAACTTAATCCAAATTACTTGTATTTATCTTTAAGTGAGATGGAGGGTGTAAAAACAAAAGGCCAGAAAATTTTCTTGGGGTGGGTGGGAGGGAGATGCAGTGGGATGGGGTTGATTGAATGAATGGAAAGATGGATGAATGGATGAATGGATGAGTAGACGGATAGGTGGATGGAAAACAGGGAAGGAACAGAAGAAAGAGAGGAAGGGAAGGAGGTAGGGTGAGAGAGAAGAATACAGAGATGGTTAGAAGGATGGATGGATAAATAGATAGATGAATGAATACATGCATGGATACATGGATGGATGATGGATAGATGGGTATAGGCCACGTAAGTCCCAGTTTGTTCTTAAAAGTTACGGTATATACTAATTTTTCTTAGCTAGATAGCTGGCTTGCCACTGAACCCTGATCTTTTGTGAGCAACTTACTCTGTATACAGATTTACCTGCTCTAAAGATTTAGCCAACCATGCTTCATTGTAACTTCAATGAAATAGACCTGCATGTCCCTGAAGTTATGATTGAGGCAACAGACGACAGAGCTCTAAAACTCTAAACTGCAAAAAATAAATGACTTCCTTTTTCTAATCAGTTCCAATAAAGTCTTCAGAATATAACTTCCAAATTATAATACTGTGGTTAGATAGGATGCTCTGATCATATAATTCTTCTATACATCTGCAGAATAACCTAGACTTTGGAAAATGACTTTTTCTCCCAGGTGTTATACATAAGATGACATATGAATTTGTGGTAGGATGGATTTTCTGCAGTTCTCAAAGTATATTTAAAAACTTAAATTAGTTGACAATATTTCAAAATTGAGAGATTTCACATATGAACATCCAAATGTCCAGAATATCTGGAAAAAAAATCATAAGATCTGGCAACACTGGACACCAGGGCCACTGCATTAGGTTGTACAAGTTTGTATATAACCAACCCTGGGAGGAACAGACACAACCACCCCCTTGTTCACGAAGACTCTGATGTATATGGAACGACAAAGGGTACTGTGCAGTGCACCATACCTACTAGGCAGACAATCCTCTAAGGCAGCAAAGGGCTAAGTCTGAACATTGACCGACCCCTTTAGACTGGGCCTGTGCTCTCCAGTGCCTCCCAGACCCCACAGCTCCTAGTTTATTTCTTGCTCACTTATTCATGTCTCCTGCCTGGCCCTTAAGGCATTTGGGTTTTATATTCTCTGCGTTAGATTTCTTTCCTTTCTGGTTGTCTGGTAAAGTGGTTTGGCAGAAGTATAAATGGGCTATCCATTTTAACTTTTTAATGCCATACTGGCACGCAGGTACATATGACAATGAAAATTTTATTTTTGGCTGCGCAATGCGCGGCATGCAGGATTTTAGTTCCCTGACTAGGGATCAAACCCATGCCCCCTGCAGTGGAAGCGTGGAGTACAAACCACTGGACCGCCAGGGAAAGTCCCGACAATGAAAATATTTTTAAGGAATGATGGAGGCAGTACTTACTTCTGATTATGTGACTAATAACGGTTAACCTGAAGCTTAGGCTCTTTAAAACTGGGTTACAAATACATCTTATTTGATATTTTACTATTGCAATAATTTCATAGCATGTTGACTACAAATATCAAGAACAGAATATTTCTGATGCAAATTCATCACAAAAATGCAAATGCATCTTAAGAATTTCAGCATATTTCAATATATTGTGGCACACTTTATTTAAACTAACAATGCTTAGTTTCTAGAACAGAGAGATAAGTATGATTCTGACTTATGAAGGTATTTATTGTTTTTCTCTGACTTGACCTTACCTATCATCTTTTGCTCTGTCCTATCCACAGACTAAAAACCATTCCAGGGAGAGACTATTGTCATAAGTCAGAGTCATGATCTGACTGTAGAAAAATTGATAGATTATTTGTTGGAGACAGCATAAATCCAGGGGCATGGCAATTTATACTAAAGCAAAAAGATCCATTTCTGGAAATCTCTGAAAAACTGTATACGTTGAGCAGAAATTTTTTAATCTTATAAAACTTGAAACAAATGTGACTTTTCCCTCAGAATGCAACATATACCCTACAGATCAAAACGATTTAATTTCTGTTCTAAAATGGACAAACTGCAACTCGATAGACACTATTTCATGAGCAAATATCATTTTATCTGTGGTTCTAGGACAGGCTATTTCAATTAGTGGAATATTCTAGTTCATTGAACGTTACTACATATTCTACACAGGGATGGCTAGTTTTCAAAGATGCGCTGTATATAAAGTTGTGCTTAGCAGTAAAAACTAATGTGACTATAATTTATTCTCATTATTCAAAAACAAATGATCACATTCCCTCATGGCATTTTGAATGTAATGCACTGTAAATACTGTTAACATGGTATAATATACTAATGGGGCTGGATCTCTGACATACATTATTAATACAATTTAATTAATAAAATTAATTAATTATATTAATACAATTAATTAATTAATACAATTTAATTAAAAAATTATTGTATTAAATAAATCTCTTAACACATGGTAATTTTTTAGAAAGATTAACAGGTAAAGAGGAAAATAAGATTAGAGTCTCTGGTTAGTTGAATTCCAGATTACAAGAAGTGTAGTATGTATTTTCTGAAGTAAATGATGAGTGAGCAAAAACAATAAATTTCCAGATAACTAGTTTTCTGATTATTTATGTTTTTAAATCGTATATCTTTGTGTCTCGTTCTCGAGTATGTTTATTTGACTAAGTTGTAGTCAACTGAAGCCACAAATGTTTAACTCAACAATAAATGTAAACTTCACTGGGCACTTAGGGCTACTTCAATATTAGCTCAGGAGCAACAATTTTAAGTGATGCATACTGACTGGTACTGATAAGAGCACTTTTTAAGAGCTCTGGAACACAGAGTCAGTTTTTTATTCTCCACCTTGAAAACAGAAAGGCTGAAAAATAAAAATCAAAACTGAAAAGTGTCATTTCATATAATTCAAATGAACTCTATGGAATCATGAAGGCAAAGGGGTCTTACAGCAGGAAAGGGTCATAAAACAGCTTGACAGACATATAACGGTGTTGAGGAAAGAGGAAAAAAAAAAAGAAAAGAACTCTATTTCAATTCCAAATTACACAAACAAAAATAAATATATAAAACATCAATGATGTCTAATCCATCTTTCATTAAGCTAAAATTCTTAGTTTTTAAGGAAAACCATAGGAGATAGCTCAGAAAAGTTTCCATCTTACCTTCCACCTGCTCTATGGCTAAAAACAACTGGGGGTGTGGTTTATCTGCTCTACCAGTAGAACTCTACATGGATCATCAGATTCATTTATTAATAAACTCAAACCCCTTACCTGGTGGGAGAAATGCTGTATGCTGTTGTAACTGCATGTTGGCTAGAGCCTGTTGGTATTGGAAAATACCAGTGTTAAAGACTGCGGTGGCACCGTTGGTTTTTTCAAGAGCAGGCCTCTTTGGTAATGGGGGAAGTACAGCTTGAGGAATTCCCTGTTTAGTGAATGAGTATAAAAAACAAATACCAGTAAAAAGAGAAAAAGAAAAAAGAAAAATCAGTTGAGGGCCAAAATTGTTAGGAAGCATGAGCAAGCAAGCAGCAGAGCACTTAACTACCCAAGGGGGAAAAACATCCAATAAACAAAAATTTAAAGGGGAAAAAAAAAAAAAAAAAAGCAAGAAAAAAGCTTTAAAGGAAGCATTATTTTTGTCTTGGGGCGGGGGGAACCCACTAGTATGAGAGCACATGTTATAATGTGTTAAAGTGTTTTAAGTCCCATAATGCTTCAGGCTTTCTGGGAGAAGCCATTGATTTGGGAAAAGAAGAAAAGCTGCACTGCGAGCTCCATGAGGATTGACAAGTATAAGCAATGTTAATAGTTAATTGTACGGAGTGACCGAAACAGGTAAAATAAAAATCAGTCCCACTCTGCCCCTCCCCCCATGTCTACCTAAACATGCACATGTCCCAGAGCATGCAAGTTTTTTTTTTTCTTAAAACACTGAACTAGAAATATTAAAAAGTCAATAATTCTATCACTAAAGCCATGCTAACCAAACAGGTACATAAATATACAGTCCAAAAATACATTTTTAATGTCCTTCAAGTATTCCATTAGAATATTCTACAATGTAGTTAAACTGAATGTGGACTGCTGGGCTTTCGGAATCTTTCATTGTATGATATCCATCCAGGGACTTGTATTACAGTCTTTCCGCTAATTTTGTCAGGAAACCACACTCAGTTTTTCATTGTACTTTACAACTTTATAACAGAAAAAGGAATATATATTTTTAAATAGATAAAAAAAAAAAACTTGTAACTACAATAAAGCTACATGCCAAGCTAAAAGGTGAAAGGTCATAGTACCAGGTCAAAGGTTGCCTCGAGGGGTCGCTTCAGTGATTTGACAGCCGACTGAGTCTTAATTAGCAGGCAGCGAGCACATGATGGCAATGGGCCAGTGGGGTTCAAGCGCATTAACATAAACAGCAAGCAGAGGTGCATCATGGGGGCAGCAGTGCATTTTTGGGTAGGTGAGAAAAAACAAATAAAAAAACAAATCATCGGAATGCCATATACAACGAATAACAAGACTAAGCATGCACAATAAAGGCACTACTGAGTTGTTATTGGGAGGATAACTCCTCTTTGTAGTTAATTACAAACAAGATACTCTAACAGAAAAAAAAAAAAAAGAGTGAAAGGAAGAGAGGAGGAGAGAGTCTGCCTTCTGTATTTTTGCTCAAGTATCCATAAACAAACACAGAAAAGACCTCTCTCGTGATTATTTTACTGTGCTATGAAATACCACACAGTGTTCTCTTTTATGAATATTTTAAAGATTAAGTCATATATTTATGTAAAAAAAAAAAGGACATTACAACAGCTAAGCAAAGAACAAAAATGGACTCATTAAAATCAGCTATTAGATGACATTAAAATTTACCTTAAGTATATAGTTGAGTATCTGTTCTAAATGATCCAATTTCTAACTCCTCCTTGAGTACTGCTTTCTCCTTTCTACATAATGGCATAGGCAAGCTTCTCTAGTTTTACAGTTCTGTTTATGCCACAATATTGCTTAAGATTATCTAGATAGCAAACTGTTCAAAATCTTGTAGCTAATTCTAAAAACAATTTTGTTGAAGCAATTCTCCTAAATAGTTCCAGATTCTCATGGTTAAAAGCAAGATAATGTAGAGAAGAGCCTTGATGTGCAAAAGAACACACCGAAGGAAAACAATGGCTGATTAGATGGCACACAGAAATAAGAGGACCGAAAATGGCAGTATCGTTAAACCGAAAAGGAGACAGGTGTTCTGTACAAAGCAGAAATTTCAGAAACCCTATATCCAGAATAAGACACAATATTAAGAGCTAGGCCGAGGGAAGGAGCAATCTGAACCATTTGAGGAGTTACTCTCACTTCTCTGAATGGTAACTTCATTATGTATTGTCTGGGATACCTGAACAAACATATCTTAAGCAAAAAATTTTTTTAAAAAGGTTAATAAATGAATAGCTTGTCGTCAGATATAGTTGTTCACTTTGCTTTTTTGACTGTTAACGAGGATTGCGCTGAGGTCTCTACTCACCATGGCAGCTGCGGTGGCTGCAGCCTGTGCTGCAGCAGCCTGGTTGACCTGGTATTGGGCAGCCTTGATCTTGGCTTGCAGATGTGCGGGAGGATGAAAGTATTTGCACTTTTCCCTAGAGCATCTCCCTTTGATGTAATCCATACACACGGTGACTGTGTTGTCATTGGTGTCAATCATTGTGCTGTCAGCAGGATGGGCAAACCGACAATCGTTTTCTCCTCTGTTGCAATTGCCACGCTGGTACTCTCGACATACCTATGGGGTCATTAAGTGCACAGGGGTCAGTCAACATGGACAAGTAGAAACTTTCCGAAGATTTTAACTTAAAGTGCAAGTCTGGTGATAGAAGCCAACAAATGAAAGGGGAAAAGATAATTTGCAAAGGAACCACAAAATAACTTGTAAACATTCTTAGTTCGGTATACAAATTATAATCCCATTTCAGTAAAATGTCCATGAGAAAGAAAACACATTCATGATACTACTTATGGTAAAATATCTAATTTAAATTATGTTGATATACTTATTCATTACCAAGGGGGAAAACAGTAAATTTATATAGTGAAGAACCCTGGAGACACCGCTTTAATCAAACAATCAAAGTTAATATCACCAGTAATAAAGACATAATGACATCATGTACCTACTGATATGATGCACTGAAAAAAGGATACAGCATTACATTTGTTGTATTACTGCTGAGAACGCATAACCTGAATTTATTTAATCATGAGGAAACCTCAGACAAACTAAAATGGTAGGATGTTTTACAAAATGACTGATCAGTACTCTTCCAAAGTGTCAAGGTCATGAAAAACAAAGAAAGATTGAGACACTGTCACAGACTGAATGATCCTGGAGTCAGAGAAAGGAGGTTGGTAGGACAACTGGTGAAATCTGATTGAGGTCTGTAGATTGGCTAATAGCAGCATATCAATGCTAATTTTCTGGTTTTGTGAGTGGTAACATGGCTATGTAAGCTGTCAATATTTAGGTAAGTGGGGTGAAGGATAGGCAGGAACTCTTGGTTCTATTTTTGCAACTTTTATGCTAATCAGAAATTATTTAAGAGTGAAAGTGTAAAAAGTAAAATGATAGCTTTTTCATAAAATGTTTTGAAGAGCTAAGTTTTTGATCATTAGAGATTTACCTGGTAGCTATAAAAAGCAGATGGAAAAATATTAGTTTTTGTTACTGTTTTTTTATTTTTATTTTTTGCGGTACGCGGGCCTCTCACTGTTGCGGCCTCTCTCGTTGCGGAGCACAGGCTCCGGATGCGCAGGCTCAGCGGCCATGGCTCACGGGCCCAGCCGCTCCGCGGCACGTGGGATCTTCCCGGACCAGGGCACGAACCCGTGTCCCCTGCATTGGCAGGCGGACTCTCAACCACTGCGCCACCAGGGAAGCCCTACTGTTTGTTTCATATCTATTAATTTTGGATGGGGTCCCTGGGGAAAGGTGAAAATGGGTTATTTTTCATTCATCTGCTCGATTTTGACTCTTACTATTAAAGTTTGTCATGGTGCTTGCTCTAATCAAGAGGTTGCCGGCGCTGTCTTCAGTCAGAATAATTTGACCTTTTTACCACAAGAGGGCCATCTAAACACAGAATGTCCTTATATTTTTACGCTCTTACTTCATGCTTCAAGGATGTTTCCGTTTTGTTTTTCACAAATCTTTTTACAAACTGAGCGAATGCAGACCCCGAACACTCAATTTTGGAATTCATCAAGGAGAAAAAAGGGGGGGAAACCCCGTTGTGATTTAAAAAAACAAAGATTTTCTTGGATTTAAATACATGAAATGATCACATTTAATTCTAGGTATTTCCCCCTTTTACATCCATATCCCATTATTGAGGAAAGTGCTTCCTTTTAAAAAGGTCTCTATAATTTGTATCGTGGTATATCTTAAAAATAGCATTATAAACGACCTCTTGCACCATTTGGAAACCTCAAGCTAGCTAAAGCACTGCATTCCACATAGCAATGAGCCAACTCTATTCATCACCTCAATTTATGTAATTTTTAAAAAATTATTAAATAACTACTCCGTGCCAGACACTCTGAGAGATATTAGGAATACAAAGATGACTTAGGAAGTTACAGAAGATCCTTTTTTTTTTTTTAATCGTTGCATTTATCTTCTTGAACAAAAGAAAACAAGGATATCCAGGAGTTTATAATTTGAAAAGCAAAAGTGGTAAAGCTGTTATCCAGAACTATTGTCCTCCACTCTCAGTGAGGACGAGTCAGCTGTGCAGCTTTCTACACCACAAATCCCCACTTACTAAATTAGGCTCATCAAAATAGGAAGAGAGGAACATTTAAATGAGGATAAAAACCCTTCACGTATGTATGCAAAATTATGCTAAATTTATACCACAGCATAAACAAAAAAGTTACTTTTCTGTTTAAACAAATCTGTGTCAACGCAGCCTCATCCAATAGGAAACCATCTGTGTTCGGACACTACTGCTGTTAGCTCTCAGTAATTCCTGCTTTCTCGAATATGCTCGCAAAGAAACTTGGCAGCAGCTGAACCAACACTCTGTTTTCCAATTTCTCTCACTCTTTACCACACTGACAAGAAAGAAGATCTGAAGGTAGTCTGTCTGTAGGACCTTGAATAACTATTAAAATCAAAGATTTGCAATTTTTCAAAAACAATTATGCCAGTGCTGAGTGCCAGGCTGATTTTGACTTTTTTATTTCTCTGTCCATCTCAACGTTCTTTTTATTTTCAGGGATGTGAGCTTAAAACCAGGTTGCATAAAGATGATCATTCTAAGACCCCTTCTCGTCCCTCTCAGTTTGCTTTATGCATGTGTCAGTGTATAGGTTAATAATTGGTTTATTACCAATTTTTTGGTAATTGGTATTGTTTTGTACTCTTTACTGTCTAGCAGGATGCATTGAGGGAAAATTCTAAAAAACATTTAAGCAGAGCTGATAACTAGCAGTTAGCTCAGAATTTTGTTCCTAAATCCAGCCTTTTCTGATGTTCCGAGAACTTAGTCAACTGTTTCTGCATGATATACATTTTTGACTATTTTTTTTTTCCAACTTAAGGTTCCTCCCCACAAGAGAAATGGAACAGAAGAAATATACTGAAATAGCTGTTCTCCTATTATTCTTGCCTTTGAACAAAATAGAGAAGAAACTGAAAATCTCTCGTGAAAACTTGTACGGGTGAGAGCTACAAGGCTAGAGGGGCTAGAGAAGTTTGCCAAGCTTTGGATGTATATATGGATTGTGGGGTACCTATCTGAACAGAACAAACTTCCCAAAACTTTTCAAACAGATTTTTCTCTAATAATGACCATCAATAAAATGGGATCTATCCCTTGACTGCTGAATATGGGTTTGGCCTGATAAACCCAAGAAAACTTTAGACTGTGTTGCTTCCCCAAAAGAAATCTCTTAGTTGTAGTATTGTGTTACCAACAAATCTAACCTTATAATTCAAATCAGGATAAGAAATTGCACAATTTACCATACAGAGAATTTGGAACGAAGAAGATAAAATTAAATTTGAAAATCCTAACAACATTATGGCTCTTTTTTCTATTCCATCCAATCTTCTGCACGAACATATTTTTCAAATAGTTGTAACTATAATATGGCTATTACTTGGGGATCTGTTTTTGCTCAACAATGTAGCATAAGCGCTTTGTTTGTTTGTTTTACTTAATAGTGTCCAGAGTCATCATTTTTGCTGGCTGCATCAAATTCTATAAAACAGATGTGTATAATATAGGTAACTCTTTCAGAGAACATCTAGATTATTTCCAGTATTCCCATATTACAAATAATGTTGCAAAGAGTATATTCATGACCACACTCTTTAAAAAATCATTCTCTAAGGATAAATGTGCAGAAATGGCATTAGTGGGTCAACATATATAAGTACTTTTTACAGTTTGCTAAGTGGTTTTCAAACCTAGATGAAAATAATTCCATCTATTGATATTAGCTAAACACATACTATGCTTCAACCAAAAAGAATGTTTGTAAGTATAAGTACTTATATGTACTGTAAGTATTAAGGCAGTTGACCTATACACATTACTATATATAAAATAGGTAATTAATAAGGACCTACTGTATAGCACAGGGAACTCTACTCAATACTCTGTAATGGCCTATATGGGAAAATAATCTAAAAATGAGTGGATATATGTATACATATAACTGATTCACTTTGCTGTACACCTGAAACCAACACAACATTGTAAATCAACTATACTCCAATTAAAAAAAAAAAGTATTAAGGCAGGATTTGCTTTGGAAATCAGGTAAGTTTTGTAAACTTTCATACAAAATGGATAAGAGGTTGCTTTTACAGTAAAAACCGTCATTTCAATAAAAATATTCACTGAAAATATTAAAGTACTAAATTCCATTTCCAGAAAAACACCTTTGGCATATAAACTTCAAATAATCAAAAGAAAAAGCAATCAGAAAAACTTCCCAAGCAAATCTAAATTAATTCTACATAAACCTTCTTTTGTTAATTAAATAGCAGTAGTAGGGTGGAAAGAGAATAGAGTTTGAAATCAGAAATTTTCTGTTCTATCTAGTGTTTATATTTACTAGCTCTGGAATCATGAATACTGAATAAGATAATGTACAGATAGCTTAAAACACACTATACAAATCTGATTAAACAGTTCTGTTATTCGATCTCTATTTCTATAAACATGACAAACATATTTCAAAATGGTCAAAATAATAATAGGTTGTATAAGTAGTATTAAATTCATCATTACTCTGCAAGTTAAGGCTTGAGAGTCTAAGGAAATTAAGGTCAATGGATGAACTTATTCAAAACTAAACAGCCATTTGCATGTTCTTTAAGACACATTCTATGTTTTGTGCTTAACATAGTTAACTCAGTCATCTTTAGAGACTAACATTCAAAGCAGGAAGAGAGGGCTAATTGTAACAGGGAAGAGGGACTCTCAGGGTACTTTTTTTTTTTTTTTTTTGCCGGTCCGCGGGCCTCTCACTGTTGTGGCCTCTCCGGTTGCGGAGCACAGGCTCTGGACATGCAGGCTCAGCGGCCATGGCTCACTGGCCCAGCCGCTCAGCGGCACGTGGGATCCTCCCGGACCAGGGCACGAACCCGTGTCCCCTGCATCAGCAGGCAGACTCTCAACCACTGCGCCATCAGGGAAGCCCATCTCAGGGTACTTTAATACTTTGGGAAGTTAATTTAAACCTAATGACCAATATTAAGGAGCTTATTCAAAG